GAAATAACATCATCCTCCACTTAAACAATCTGAAAATAATACATAATTATATCTCTTATATAATTATTTACAAATTAACTAAATTTGTTATATTTATTTGCACATATGACTAAAAAGCTGATTTCCTATTTACATGGTAACTTCCCATGAATTTCGTCTCTCTCTTCTCCCCCTCTCTTTCTCTTCTTCACACACGGCCCTATCTCTTCCTTCTTCACACAAAACACGCGCGCGCTGCTTCTTAAAGATGAACCGAAGGGCGAGGCGGAGAATACAGTTCTTGTGTTCTAACGGTTTTGTTTTTAATTTTTCTTTCATTTCTCCTTAATTCCTGAAAGTGACGATATGGGGTAGGGTTTCGGATTCTCCACACAATTAGGTGAAGCTTTGTTCTTATATAGAAAGTGAGGTGATTGCCGTAGAGAATCTGCCGACGCGGGCGGTGATGATTTAGTGACGGGGAAGATGAAAAAGACGATCGGCGAGGTGGTGTTCTACTTAGATTTGATTCTTGAGGTAGTGTGTTTGCAAACAAGAAAAGAAAAAAAAAAAAGGGAAAATAATGCAGACAAATCAAATAGCAGAAAATGTTTGCAAACATTGCCTTTTTGTTTGAGACAAATCCAAGGCCATGATTGAAGTTTGAATGAAAAACTTCTCAGAGGATAATTGTCGAACAATTGATGTGCTTGGTTCGTTGATAGATAGTTTTCATTTTGTATATGTTGTAGGCATATGTTGTGTATATATGGAGTATATGTTCAGTATAATAGAAGATTTATTGTCAAACACTTGATGTGTTTGATTCGTTGATAGATAGTTTTCATTTTGTACATGTTGCGGGTTTATGTTGGGGGTATATGTTGTGTGTATATGGAGTATATGTTTAGTATACGTTTTGTATATTTAGAAGATTTTTTTGTATAAGGAGTATAAGTANAAATACTGCTATGATATGAATGTAGGCAGGTCAACCCAACATACTTTTTTTTTCAAAACGACAGATAGGTTATCATATAACTCAATGAGGACAGAGTCCTAATACATGGTTCAGAATACATAAATACTTCGCAAAGAAAAAGTGGGAGACACACCTAAAGTGGTCTAGAGCCTCTACAAGAGGAACTGAAAACAACAGAACTGAAAATACACTAATAATAAGAAATCAACCACCTTCTACTGCCAAAGGCCTAGCAAGGAAACTGATCTCAGAAAGAAAATACAAAATAGAAAGATAAAAAACTGAAACTAAATCATGAAGCAGCTACATATTGAGTCCAGTTTGAGTGGGCCACTTTTATCACTTTTGCTTCTGGAAAACCAACAATTGCCCCATATATGTTTTTCTTGAAGTAATTCATCCCATTGAGCTAATCTGGTATCATGCAGGGACTTAAGTAAACAAAGATACCCCATTGGGGGTCAAAAGAAGAAAGGGAAAACTGTATAGCAATGAAAAACTCCTTTTTGATAATCTGATGAGTTACAATATTTGAATCCCAAAACAAAGCTAACCACCACTGAGACTAAGGGGGTCAACTATTGCTACTCTATCAGCATAACCTAACTTATTACTAATAGATTTAACAAAGCATTTTTGTTTTTTGGTCTCAAATAGGAAAAAAAAGTGTGGGTGGTGAGTTTTGTTTAACTCTCGCATTTGGGAAATTGTAGAGGGCCCACCCAACCCTCTACAATTCCACACCACAGCTAACATTGGTCACTGTGGTGCCATTCCATGCTGGCAACCCCTATCTTCTCCATTTGTATCTTGCTTTTTTTTTTTTTAAACTGATTGATCCACACTGAGATTCTGCTGAGAAGCTGTGTGCTCTTCTTCAGTGTCTCTAGTTCTTTTCCCTTTTGTGTCTGTCTCAGATGTCATTTTGGTGATTGGTTCTCTGAGCAATCGTCCATCCTTGCCTCTATCCCTTCTCCAAGTTTTCAAAGATTTAAGAGTATTGGATGCCAGAATGTCATGGACTTTGAACAAGGTTGAAGTTTTTTGAGACCCTGGATCAACTTCCATGACTTTGTTGCTTTCACTAATTTGAAGAGTGGATTACACCAGAGAATCTTGGAACATTGGTGTATGGGTGGCTGATGCTATAGAATCTTGAGCTCCTTCTCTGGATTTGGTAGGTGAGCTTGCTGGGAGTTGGAGAAGCTGTTGACTTGTTTAGCTTGTTGAGAAGATGTTTTTGGAGGGGAGTTATTAGCATTAGCATTGTTAATGGGTGATTCTTATTGAGGGGAGTCTCTGGATCCTGAGTTATTAATATCAAACCATTTAAACCCTCTGGTTGCTTCATAAAATCACCATACTGTCCTTCTTGGAGAGAACTATTGTTTATATCTGAAATCCTTTTGGAGCAGCTTCTATCTAAATGCCCAATCATTCTACAGTAATGGCAAAGATTCAACAATTTTTTCATATTTGAATCCTACTTGTGCTGCTTAATCCCCCAATCTGATGTTCGCCTCACGAGAAAGAGGTTCCTCTAAGTTTAGAGTAACCAAGAGTCAGAGATACTTCCCCCATGGTTGCCAGAATTGGCCAAAACCACATTTTTAACTTGTTTAAATACTTGACCTATTTTGAGACCAACTTCTGTACTTAGCCAGTTGAAGGGAGTATTTGTAACTTGCACCCAGATATTCAGTTCATGAAAACAAGGATGTTTACTAGAAATACCTGTGCACCATTCCTTCAGAATGAGATATTGGTTCTCAAAGCTCCAGTTGATACCGTTGGCTACCTTCTTCATATCCTCTCGATTTTGAAATATGAATTGGAAGAAGTTCGGACTCAGCTCCTTGATTTCCATTGCTTGACTGAGTCGCCAAATGTTAGTCATTATCCTTTTGATTCCAATCCAACTAGCAGCTTTGCCGCTAATTATTTTGCAAAAAAGGCTTCTACTACATTCATCCGCGCTTAACTTGATGTCGGTATGAGCTAAATCAATGAATGTAGTTTCTTTCTTTGAGAGAGAAAAACCCCTCAATTGCTCTGATAAGTCCTCGTCTTGGTTCACAGACATTGAATTCTAAACCTAATTAGCAATATACTGAAATGGGCAAAGAAGAGAATGAAATCGAAGGATCAGAGCAGGTGGAATAAACGATCAAGGGAGAGAGGTAGGGATCTAAAAATGATCAGAATGCCAAGGAAGATGATCGGAAAAGTGACAGCTCCCACCTGAGAGAATCTCGAAAGTGCTCCCACCTGAGAGATTTTTTTATAAGTTGTATCTACTTGTTTTTTATAATATGTTTTTAAACTATATATATATATATATATATATATATATATATATATATACTTTTAAATTGAATGAAACATCGTCTATATTTATACTACTCTAAAATGACAAGTGTTGTTNATCCTTTAACAGATGCATCGAGCATAAATAACTGGAAGACAAATCTCGATCGAAAAATATACCTCACAATCGTTTTTGATGGACAAAATATACTCCACACTCGTCCTTTCACTTTTTTTCTTTTTTTGGCGTTAATCGATCTCGACAGAAGTTCGGATCTTTTTTCTCAGTATATTTTCCTTTGAATCGGTCTGTGAGTAATCGATCATGAGTATTCTTCAAAGTCAATGTTCCTATATTTTCATTTTATACGCCAAAACCGTTACAGATAGGATTTTAATTCCATATTAATGAATCCAAATTTTTTTTTTTGGAAATAGTGTAGAAATCTTAGGAGTGAAAAGTGAATGGAGTCTGACTTGTTGGTAACTGATTTTTAGGGATTTATATAGTATATTTTCGACTATTAAGTAGAGATACAATATCTTATATATGGATAGTATTTTTGCAATAATTTTAGTTTCTTGTAGGACACATAAAAATTTCCCTTATTTTTGTCTAAAGTCGTTAAAAAAAATAAAAACCTGATGTTAACAAGCTCGGACTGGGTATCTGTCCGTGTGGGTGGTCGCTAGTGGGTGTCCGCGTCGTTGGTGTTCGTTTTGATTTTGTTGTTGTGGGAAGGGCTCTAGTTTTTTGTTATGTGTTTTGTGGGTGTTTTTGTTTTGTAGGTTGTGTTTTGTTTTTTCCTCTTTTAGAGGAATGTGTTATTTTCCTGTGGCGAGTTTGTGTTATTCTCTTTGAGGAGTTTGTATATTTTCCTGTGAAGAGTTTTTTCGTCTTATAACGTGTGTTGTGATTTTTAGGCTGTCTTGAGTAGTCTTTCTATTCCACTGTAATTATATGTTTTATTTAATGAATCTATCCTTGAAAAAAAAAAACACACAACCTTTGTCTAAAATCGTTAAACAAAATAGAAACATGATGTTAACACTTAACAAGCGATTGATTCTGGATAAAAGGGCCTTATTAATTTTAGCCCGAGAACAAGCCCAGCAGTGCCCCGTGTATAAAACCTAACCTCGTCATATCTAGGGTTTGTATAGCTGCCGTATTGTCCATCGCCGCTTGCCACACTTATCTTCTCCTAGCGAAATTGCTCAGCGGCCATGGTAATGTCGCTGAATCCCCACTGGAGCTTATCACTTTCATTTTATTTCTTGTGTGCACTTCTATGCTGTGCTTATCTGTTTAATTCCATTTCTTGATCGTATTTCTTCCTGTCTCAGATCATTCCCGAGAAGAACAGGAGAGAGATCTCCAAGTACCTCTTTCAAGGTCGGGATAGAAATTCTATGTTAATTCCCGATAATACAATAGTTATTTTTATATTCCCTTCATTTTACCAGCTAGCATTTTGAGTTGGGGATTTCTCTATTTATAAGTTTCGGTGTGTAGTTAATTTTTGTTTATATTTATGTGTTAACTAATTTGTAAACAGAGGGTGTGTGCTACGCTAAGAAGGACTATAACTTGCCAAAGCATCCTGAAATTGATGTGCCGAATCTTCAAGTGATTAAGCTCATGCAGAGCTTCAAATCCAAAGAATATGTGCGCGAGACCTTTGCGTGGATGCATTACTATTGGTATCTTACCAATGACGGCATTGAGTTCCTCCGCACATACCTCAACTTACCTTCTGAGATTGTTCCTGCAACTCTCAAGAAGTCTGCCAAGCCCCTTGGCCGGCCAATGGGTGGCCCCCCTGGTGATCGTCCACGGTAAATATCCATGTTTTCATATTTCCTTTCTTTTAGGGGTAAGATATATATATTGGATGTGCTAAGTTATCTGCTTTCTGTAAAACGGCTTNNNTCTCTCTCTCGCTGGACAATACATATGAATTCCATTTCCTTGTAAGCTTATAGCTAGTTAGTTGCAAGTTCTTTTCTTTTTGATGCCTTCCAGTGGTATTTGGTCAACTAGTTGTGGAATAGGTACAGTTGATTTCTTTGAAGATATGTGAAGAATGTATTATAGCGTTTATCTTATTGTTTTGCTGATTGAATTGGGTGACATCTAATTTATAATGTTGAAGCTTCTCAGTGTCGGATTAAAAATGTTTACTATCATTGTATTTGGTTGCTATTTGATAACCTGAATCCTCATGTTTGTTTCATCCCTCAATGATGATTGGACCTGCTCATTGTAATGCTGTTGCTATTGGTATTTTGTACTATTTAGAGACTGTATATTTGTATAATGATTGTGTATGTTGATTTGTTCACAGTGGACCTCCAAGATTTGATGGGGACAGGCCACGCTTTGGTGACCGGGATGGATACCGTGGTGGGCCAAGAGGAGGTGAATTCGGGGATCAAAAGGATGGAGCACCAGCGGATTACCAACCTGCTTTCAGGGTAATTTTTGTTTTAGAACTCTTACATTATTCTTTTTTGCCTGTTTTGCTGCTTTTCATTTTGTGATATCTTCATAAACTTAAAGGCTTGTGGTTTTTATTTGTGTTAAAATGGATAGTTTCTAGAGCGAGTGCAGTGGCATTTCATGGTTTAGTCATAGAATTGCTAACTAGGTTTGACCTACTTCTCTAGCATATAAACCCAGCAACTTTTTTTTTTATTATTTTTTTATTATTTTTTTGTTGTTTGACTGACTTATTTGTTAAACTAGTGTTGATACCCGTGCGATGCACGGGGTGCAATACAAAAAAATATTTATTATTGAAATATTATAAAATTATTTAAGAATATGAAATTATATTCTCCGCAATATTCTATTCAGTAATAATATGATATTTATTTATTTATTATTATTGTTAATTTCTATTTTTGTATATTTTTTTTGTAGTTTTTTACTATTTAATATATAAATTTTATTATTTATAAGTTTATAAAAATATTATAAATATATAAGATCATATGATATTTGCATACAAATTATTTGTATGTACTTATAAAATTGTCGTTTATTATAGTCTTATAATTTTTTTAATAATTCATAATTTGTACATTGCTTGATAATTAACCAACGTTTAACCCATAATATTTATCTTCCGCTAGAATTATTAAGTGCATTAAATGTTAAAAACTTTGATAAACAAACTTTAATTTTTAGTGACTTTAATCCTTATGCAACACATAATTTTTTTATGGTTAAATATTTATTTTGATGTTTCCATTTTTATTTATATTTATTTCTTTAATTCATTTTTTCAACCTATATAATGAGTTACATAGTATCTATTCGAATATTTTGAATAGTATATATTTTCATAATTACCAAATGCTATAATCTAAATTATTATACATTCTTTTTTTATTAACTTATTTTTCATTTATAAAATAGTATATAAGAAAAAAAATATTTTTAAAAATTGGATAGTTTTTAATGTACATAGGTACTTCTAAGGTGGAATTTATAATTTTGAATTGCACCTGACCATCAAATTTTATTTTTATTAGTATTATTTAAATTTTCAATACTATTATTGCTGCATGTGATATATTCAATGGGGATGTACATTTTTATAGTTAAATTGACTACATATTTGAAACTTTTATTAATATTTTAGATTATTTATTAAGTTATTATGATTTAAACATAGTTATTCTACTTATTTTATTAAATATTTTAAGTACTTTTGAATAGTGAATATAATTAATTAAATTAATACCTACTGCCATAGATGATAATATATTTAATCAAATCAATTTCCATAATAATTTTTTGAATTATGCTAATAAATTACTATTAAATTAATAGAAGATCTTACTTAAAATATATCTAATAAATTTACAGTCAAAATTTCAATTTAGTCAATTTGTAGTTAATGAGTTATAGTCATTGTCTCATTGAGTGTATAAAAATTAATTATATTTTCTATGCATATGATTTGCTAATAAATAAATATTAATTAAATGACAAATATAGACGAAAAAATTTCTCGCCCAAAATCATGTCAATTATGGCAATAAAGATTGATCCATTATATAGATATAGGTATAAACATAGATATAGATATAGATTTATGGTATAATTATAGGTTCGTATATTTATGGTATCATTTGGTGTCATTATCTTAATTGGTAGTATATATATTTTTATGTATTATTAAATATATATTTTTATGCATTATTAAATATCAGAATGATTCTCATACTTAAAATTGATTTTTTATTTTTAGAAAAATTGAAGTATCCACATTCGAGCATTCCTTGAAGTAATTATTGTTGTATATTACTTCTATCCACATTCGAGCATTCCTTAGTTGTTTATTGCTGCTAGGTTAGTTGTCTCTAGCTGCTAGTTTAGTTGTTTATTGCTGCTAGGTTAGTTGTCTGATGTTGCAGGGTTTGTTTTTTGTTGTTGCTAGGTTAGTTCTATCTTCTTGCTAGGTTAGTTCCATCAGACCAACAGCAAATAAGTTTTTAAATAACATTTCCATCTGATCAGAGAACAAAAGACACAACAGATTACACTCACTACATCTTAATCCTAAATTGGATCATGTCTACATCATCTTGCACAAGGAAGAAAGTGCAGGTTGTCCCTTCTAAGATTTCATTTTCTTCAAACATTTGCAGAGCGTCGCCATTCTGCAATGTTTTCCTTCCATCATCTCCATGAGTGATGTTTACCCTGTAAACTCGTTCTCCTACTTTTATAGATGCGCGGTGGTATTGAGAAAATTTGCCTTCAATATGTTCCCTCCAGAAAGGTACTGGCATGGGCTACAAGAATAAAGTAATTTATATGTATTATATGTATTTAAATAACAAACAAGTCAATTATGCTGACAGATGAAATTTATTAAACTTACAAAACAGACACGTTGAACATGTGTGGGCTTAATCTCGACATTGAAAGTATGTTGTGGCAGCCAAGTACGATTGGTGCGGTCAATGATTGTGATTAAATAGTCTAGGTTGCTGGTTGGAAGGAAAATCAATGTGAAACCAATTTCAATGCCCTCTGTAACAATGAACTGACGCCAACCTTCTCCAATTGTTGGGTCGCCACCAGGCTTTCTTATCACAGTCTCGTACGTGCGTCCTTCTATTGTATGTAAAACGCATCTCTGAGGCATATTCTCATCACGGAAATAGCCGTACGTGGATGGTGGAAAGGGCTGCAACATCACAACATATTTTCTTTTTTTTCAGTTAAACTGTGCTTTTTATATGTAACAGTGCACTATTAAAAGAAGAATTAAAACAAAGAACTTTACCATATAGTAGCGAACCCTGGGCTCAACATGCTTACTGAAGCTTGGCAGTGAGTATACGTTACCGTCATCCATTTCATCCCAGTTATCCCAATCATCCATATTTCTGTAGTATGTTATTGAGATGCAGTTCAATAATCAGAGAATAGGGTTATGAAGATGTTAAATTAACATAAACGAAGCATATATAATCAAACGTATTATGCAATAGTTAATACATAGAACATGGTGATGATTAAGAGAAAATTAACAGAGATTTTAATCCTTATTATAAAGATTGAAGGTAGAAATTGTAGAAGATTTTCACCTTCAATTTTGTGATGTATTCTTCTTGGGTAAGGCGGGCGGCAGGAAAGTTTTTAGCTTTTGACAATGCAGTACAGTATAACCCTAATTTTGTCCAGTTTATATGAAGTCAGCCATTACAACTACCCGACAAAAATACACTACTTTTCATATGATTTAATTATTGTTGTATATTTTATTCTATATACTTTCATAGTTGCTAGGTTAATTGTCTGATATTGCTAGGTTAGTTTTCTAAGGATGCTAGGTTAGCTGTCTGTTGCTGCTAGGTTTTTTATTTAATGTTGCTAGGTTAGTTGTCTTATTTTGCTAGGTTAGTTGTCTATCGTTGCTAGGTTAGCTGTCTGAGGTTGCAAGTTTAGTTATAGCATGCTGCAGGGATAATTCTATCTTGTTGCAAGGTTAGTTCTCCGGTGGTGCTATGTTAGATATATATCTAGTTGCTATGTTAGAATAACTAACAAACACTTCTAACAAAAGTACCAAAAGATATCAAAAGACATTAAATAATAACTAAAAATGCATCAAAAAAGTTTTATAGAAAAACACTCCCATCAGACTATCGGACTAAATTGTCGAGCACTTATTAAGAAAAAGTTTTATAAAAAGTTCTATAGTTTTTGTTATTGCTAGGTTAGTTTTATCTTGTTGCTAGGTTAGTTATATGGTACTGCTATGTTAGATATATCTAGTTGCTAGGCATTAAATATCAAAAGACATTAAATAATAATTAAAAATGCTTCAAATAAGATTTATAAAAACAAAACGGTTCCATCAGATCATCGTTCAAAAGACTGCAAACAAGTTTTCTTCCATCAGATCACAACAAAAGACACTAACATCAGACCAGAGAACAAAAGACACAACGATCACACTCATTACATCTTAATTCTAAATTTGATCATGTCTACTTCATTTTGCACAAGGAAGAAAGTGCAGGTTGTCCCTTCTGAGATTGCATTATCTTCAAACATTTGTCGAGCGTCGCCATTCTGCATATTTATCCCTCCATCATCCCCCTGAGCGATGTTTACCCTGTAAACTCTTCCTCCTACTTGGATACGTGCGCGGTGGTAGTGATAAAAATTACCTTCGATATGTTCTCTCCAAAAAGGCACCGGTATGGGCTACATACAAGTATAAAGTAATTTATATGTATAATATGTATTTAAATACAAACAAGTTAATTATGCAGCCAGATGAAATTTATTAAACTTACCAAACGGACACGTTAACATGTGGGGCTTAATCTTGACATTAAAAGTATGTTGTGGCAGCTGACTACAATAGTGGCGGTCAATGATTCTAATTTCATAGTCTAAGTTGTTGGTTGGTCTGAAGAGCAATTTGGAACCAAGTTCAATGTCCTCTGTAATCATGTACTCACGCCAACCGTCTACAATTGTTGTTGGGCAGCCATCAATCCTTTTTATCACAGTCTCATACGTGCGTTCTTCTAATGTATGTAAAATGCATCTCTGGGACAGATCCTCATCAGGGAAAAAGTAGTGCGATGATGGTGGAAAGGGCTGGAACATCACAACATATTTTCTTCTTTTTCAATTAAACTGTGCTAATTATATGTAACAGTGGACTATTAAAAGAAGAATTAAGAAAAAAGAAGTTTAGTTGCTAGGTTAGTTTTTTCTTTTAATAATGCACTGTTACATATAAAAAGCACACTTCAACTGAAAAAAGAATATATGTTGTGATGCTCCAGCCCTTTCCACCATCAACGCACTACTATTTCCCTGATGAGGATCTGTCCCGGAGATGCATTATACATACATTAGAAGAACGCACGTACGAGACTGTGATAAAAAGGATTGATGGCTGCCCAACAATTGTAGATGGTTGGCGTCAGTACATTGTTACAGAGGACGTTGAACTTGGTTTCTTATTGACCTTCAGACCAACCAGCAACTTAGACTATGAAATTAGAATCATTGACCGCGACGATTGTAGTCGGCTGCCACAACATACTTTCAATGTCAAGATTAAGCCCACACATGTTGAACGTGTCCGTTTGGTAAGTTTTAATAAATTTCATCTGGCTGCATAATTAACTTGTTTGTATTTAAATACGTATAATACATATAAATTACTTTATTCTTGTAGCCCATACCAGCGACTTTCTGGAGGGAACATATCGAAGGCCAATTTTATCACTACCACTGTGCACGTATCCAAGTAGGAGGGAGAGTTTACAGGGTAAACATCGCTCAGGGAGATGATGGAAGGAAAACTATGCAGAATGCCAACGCTCGACAATTGTTTGCAGAAAATGCAATCTTAGAAGGGCCAACCTGGACTTTCTTCCTTGTGCAAGATGATGTAGACATGATCAAATTTAGAATTAAGATGCAGTGAGTGTGATCGTTGTGACTGATGGAAGTGTCTTTTGTTGTGATCTGATGGAAGAAAACTTGTTTACTGTCTTTTGAACGATGGTCTTATGGAACTGTTTTGTTATAAATCTTATTTGATGCATTTTTAGTTATTATTTAATATCTTTTGATCTTTTTGATAGAAGTGTTTGTTATTTATTCTAACCTAGTAACTAGGTATATCTAACATAGCATTACGATATAACTAACCTAGCAAAAGGGTAGAACTAACCTAGCAATAACAAAAACTATCAATGCAACATGCTAGATCTAACCTTGCAGCTTCTGACAACAAACTTGGCAACTACAGACAACTAACCTAGCAACAATAGACAACTATCCTAGCGGAATGAAAGAAATAACCCAGCCACAAAAAGCAACTAACCTTGCTAGGTTAGTTGTCCGATTCTGCTAGGTTTTTTTTTTTTTTTTTTTTATTTTTTTTAAAAGGAGGATTAATACTGGTTCCCCAATTCCCCTCCAGGTGACTCGAACTGTCTGATTCTGCTAGGTTTACCTCTTTCTTGTTGCTAGGTTAGTTAACTTTAGGTGCTAATTTAGTTGTTTATTGTTGCATAGCTAGTTATCAGTAGGTGCTAGTTTAGTTGTTTATTGTTGCTAGGTTAGTTATCTGTAGCTGGTGTACAACTAAACTATCAACTGCATAGATATAACCTTGCAACAACATAAAACTAAAATTGCAAGTAAAATTATCTAGCATAGCAACATCGGACAACTAACATAGCAACTGGTTAAAACAAACCTTGCAACTAAAATTATCTAACCTAGCAACTACAGATAAGTAAGCTTGCAACAACAGATAAATAACCTAACAAACTAGATAGAGCTAAACTAGCAACATTGAAACTACTGGACTAACTTTGCAACTTTAAAAACCCCTGTTGCAAAAATTACTGGACTAACTAGATAGAGCTTTTTTTTTTTTTTTTTTNACTTTAAAAACCCCTGTTGCAAAAATTAATACAATGGTGTTCGCTTATTAGTGAAGATCTATTTTTATTTGACCTGCAGGGTGCAGGTGGACGTCCTGGCTTTGGTAGAGGCTTTGGCGGAGCACCTTCAAGTTAAAAGTGCCTTTGTTCAATCATAGTTTTTGATAGGATTGGGAGGAGTTATGTGAAAGATAACTTGTGTTTTGCGTGAGAATACAGTATTGTCTTGTGATGCAGTGGTCATTTATTTTCATTACTTTGGATTTATTTAGTGCCATGGTTGTTACCCTTGTTTGATTTTTGTTTCTCAACTTGTACAATGCAATGGATTTTTCTTTAAGCCTCATTTGATTTTATTTTTCTTCTCAATCAACTTTATTTAAAATTAACTCAATTTAACTCAAAATATAATCAAAACTGGTTCTCATTTATTTCCAATTGCCCCGTTGGTATTTCCCCATGCAAAACGAAACTTTATTTTATGAAAGTTTATATTATGTGTCGATGTTTATGTGTTTTATATTTCTCAATGACAATTAACTTTGTTTGATAAACTCAACTTAGCAAGAATCAAAGTTTAGAATACACCTAGTCAAAAACCCACCAATAGCTGAGAGGAGAAAAGAGAGCATCATATATAAAGTATCACCTAAAGTGAACACCAACAAGCTCATTGAAGGCAGCACCAAAAGGTTGAAACCAACAACTACACAAACAAACTAAGAACCAAAAACCACCACAACAAAGAACAATAAGAAACCAACTAACCACTGACACAAGACCTAGCTAGGTGATCTCCCAAGTTCTTCACAACCGTCCCCTCTGACAGTCTTTTAGCTCCAACCAGTCCTGCATTGCAGCTTTAATGATCAAGTGCTCTGGCTCCCAAACCTTATGAAAAACCCAAAAGTTGCGCGCTTTCCGCAACCACCACAATATGTGGGCGGTTAATTGTCCTGTTTTCAAAGATCTCAGAGTGATCCAAAGAGCTTATCCGCCACCACCAGGATTTGAAGTCCCCTGTGCTGTCTTGTCTGTCATCCCATGAGACTGGTGCCAGTTATCATATCCTCTTGGCTCTTCTCCATTTAAAGAAAATGTGTTCTACATTTTCTTCTTCTTTCCCACACCCCCTGCACATCACTTCCATCACTACTCCTCTCTGAAGCACAAGAAAGTTAACTAGCAGTACACCTGAAAATCATTTCCAATGAAATGTTTGATTTTTTCTTTTGGCTCTCAATTTCCAACACATCTGTCTTCTGTTCCTCTTTGTTGCAGTAAGACTCTCTGCTTTCTCCATCCCATGAGATTTTTCAGCTATAAAGTTTGCATATGAAGCTGCAACAGAAAACCTCCCTTTAGTGTCAAAATTCCACCTCCATTTGTCCTCCATCTTTGTATTCAGGGTGTTGATTTCCAAGATTCTTGCACAACCATCCTCCTTGAAATAATGCCTTAGTAGTTTCTGATTCCAGCTTCTACCATCTGCTTCCAAAAGGTCTTTAAACCAAATCACATTTTCACATAAGTCATTTCTAAGAACAGGTCTCCCTTCCCCAGCCAGTTATAGTCAAGGATTTTTGTCCTTTCACTATTCCTCACCTCAATGCTCATCCATTTTTGAAATTGGGGTAACAAGGCTTTTCAGGCACTCTAAAATAGAAGTTTTAGGGAAGTAAATATTCTTTAGGATCCTGCTTACCAACAGTTCAGGCCTTGGTAAGATCTTCCAGAGTTTCTTCAAAATGAGTGCTTGATTAAACAGTCTGATATCCTGAAACCACATACTTCACATTTCTGTTGACAAAGTTAAGTCCTTCCAAGTCTTCCAATGAATTTCCTTGTTGTGATCTTCCCCTTTGCTCCACTAGATGTTAGAACAGAACCTAGAAATGTCTTTACACAAACTCACAGGAAGTTGAAAACAAGACATGACAAAGACGGGAAGAGCATTTAGAACAACTTTAAATAGCACCTCTTTCCCTGCAATAGAGGAATAAATAACATAAAAGATAAAAGTAAGCTTAAAAATACACAGTAAAAACTGTTACTTTTGTTTCATATGAAAAATGAAAATAATGAACTATCATGTTTTCTATTGTTCTAGTCTGTTAATTATTGGCTTCAAAAAAATAACCAAAGTAATTGTAACATATAATTTTACAAAATTAAATAATAGAGTAACCTAATTAATAATTTATCAAGTATAGTAATTAAAAATTATTAAAAAAATGAAACTTTGAAACATATGCACACATATAATAATTAATTAAATATTAGAGTACTGAATCTAATAAAATAAAATAGGAAGATGAATATCGAATTATATTTTATCACATTTAGTTATATTAAATTACGATTATACATGAAAAATGTTAGTTTACAAAGTGTTTGACAAACTTAGTATCCTTGATGAACATTTTCTTGCTAGGCAAATAAAGCAAATTAAAAAGGATGTTCTATTCTCTCTATTGTTATTAATTAGTTCAATTGGTTTTATTTGTTATAATAAGTATTAGATAGTATACATCCTACTTATATTCAGGCCCGGCCCTGGGCCAGGGCAAGCTGGGCGATGGCCCAGGGCCCATTAATAAAATGGGGCCTCATGTGTATAAATACATTGCTATGCATTTATAATATATGACTTTTTATAAGGCCCAGCCCAATAAAAATTCATCTACGGGCAAGGGCAAATGAGCAAGCAATGCCTCCAATGGGCCCACCTCTTAAAGTTGAATTGTATGACAAAAATGAAGCTCTAATCTTCTTGGCCAACCGTAATATAATGCCCCAAGGGACCCCACTTCTCTCAATAATAAGTTGATTTGGATTTCTTCTTTCCACTCTTGTATTTTGACAAATAAGATTCTTATTTTTTGCCCTTCCAGTAAATTTCATTTCTAATAATAATAATAATAATAATAATAATAAATACAAATATTATTTTGTTCATTTCGGTCCTTGTTCTTCTTTGGTCATTCTCGATTTTTTTTTCTTTTATAATTTCATACCTTTAATTACCATCACCGTTTCTAGTTATTTTTAAAAGTGCCCGGAATCAAGTTGTGTTTCAATTTTCATTTATATTTCTTTTCAATTGATTCCACATACATACTTCATTATCATCATCATTTTTATTTTGTTAATAAAAGATAAATTTGCAATATATTAAGATTTTACAAGATTGAATGTAGATTGTGGGCATTATATTTATATTGTTGGACTCTAACTTGCTAACTTAGAGGATTGAATGTAGAGGGCTCTTTTACATGTGTAACGCATTTTCTGATTTTTTTTGTTACAAAATTAAAATCATATATAAACAAATTATTCAAAAAAAACAAAAAACAATGATATACATATAAACATATTAGAAAAATAAAACACAAAAATAAATCATTTATGTATATAGTAACAGTTGATTTATGGCAAAATTGCATATAATATCACGACCTTTATCGAGATTGCAAATTAATCACGACTTTTCGACTTTTGCACAGCATATCACGACCTTCATTTTCTTGCAAAACGATACACGGCCCTCATCACCTGTTCAAAAAAATCTGACGTGGCGAACAAAAATACACCTCAATTGCTGAGTTGTATTTACCATGCGATTTTTTTTTTCCACCTCACCACGAGACGACGTCGTTTCGTCCTGCGTGGTAAATCGTTTTTTTTTTTTCCACCTCATCACGAAACGACGTCGTTTCTCATTCAATTACATTTTAAAATCAAAATCAGAACCTTTTTAGAACCCTAAGTCCTTTGGTGTTCCTCGATTCTCTCTGCGCTCTCAGTGAAAAATCGCAATTCTTTCGTCAAGCACAATTTTCGGCAACCTGATTATCTTATTCTCGTTGTGCTCAGCCGACGACTTGATGCTGCAAAAATGGCGAACAGGTAGGATCGTAAACTATTTTTTTTCTTCTATTGTCGATAAATTAGGTTAGTTGTTTTGAAAAATAAGGGTTTTTTTGGGTTTAGGGTTAGGGTTTTCTTAATTATCCCATAATTAAGAATATATATTGGTTTAATTATGTTTATATGTACTTAAACCTACTTTTGCATTAATCTTCTCAATATATGCAGTGATTTATAAGTATTCACTGTTTACGGTTTCGAGATTTGTTAAGTAGCACATAATTAGGATTATACAATGGTGTAATTATGTTTACATATACTTATACCTGATTTGCATTAACCTAATTTAGTAATTATATTGTTATATATATGCAGTTGTGACTTGATGCTTTTTATAAACCACTGTGGGCAGTTTGTAAAGGTTGGCAATGAATTTGAGTATTATGGAGACGAGGTCACTTCAAGATATGGATTTGACAAAGATAGATTTGGTTATTTTGATTTATTAGAAGAAGTTCAAAAATTAGGGTACACTAAAGGAGAGAAACTGTATTTTAGGGCTAACAACAGTAGAAAGTATGTTCACATGCACAATGATGAGGGTGTCATGGAAATGCTTTCTATGATGGAACCTGGGAAGCATTATGTTCAAATATATGTTGATTCTGGTTCCACAAATGAAAGTCAAGGTGATGATAAGCAAAAAGGCATAGCAGATGTGCAACAAGCAGCTGATGATAATGTTTGTGAGGATAGCACAGATGAGGAGTATATTGTAGAAGAAAGTTCTGAATCAGATGGTCTCAGTTTAGATGAAATAGAAAGTTGTGAATTAGATGCACTTGGTCAACTTAGTGGAGAAGAGTATGATAAGCAAAAAGGCATAGCAGATGTGCAACAAGCAGCTGATGATAATGTTTGTGAGGATAGCACAGATGAGGAGTATATTGTAGAAGAAAGTTCTGAATCAGATGGTCTCAGTTTAGATGAAATAGAAAGTTGTGAATTAGATGCACTTGGTCAACTTAGTGGAGAAGAGTTGGACCAGTTTATTGATAATTTTCATGAGGACAGCACAGATGAGGAGTATGTTCCAGAAGAAGAAAGTTCAGAATCAGATGGACTGGGTGGAGATGAATTAGGAACTGATGATGAAGAATACTTTGAAGCAAGGAGAAAAAGAGCTGAATCCAAAAAAGTTGCAGATGAAGAAACTGAAAATTTCACATTATCTTCTGAAAAGGGGTGTGGTTCCACAAATGAAAGTGACTTCCAGTCTCTGAGGGAAGATCATTCTGATTATGCAGACTCAGCAGAAGAGGTTTGTTCTGATTCTTCAAGCTCAGGAGGGTTTAGTGGAGATGATGATGTCAGTCATAGGAAGAAGAAGAGAAATATGATAATGTATGATGCCAAGGTTGACCATAAGCAATTCAAGTTTGAACTTGGTATGAGGTTTGAGTCAGTCACTCAAATTAGGCATGCTATTCAAGAGTATTCCATATATAATGGTCACAATATCCAGATATGGAGACAAACTCCTAATCAGATTGAGGCAAAGTGTGTAGACTCATGTCCTTGGAAGTTGTATGCTAGCACTGTAAAGGCAGAAGGGAGAGTAGCCATCAAAACATTAATTTCAGATCACAAGTGCTCTAGGGACATGAGAACCAGACAAGCATCTGCAAAATGGATTGCAAAGGAATACCTTCAGGCATTCAGGAGAAAACCAAAAATGAAGATTGGAGACCTTGAAGAGATGATACTTGAGAAGTATGCTGTGCAACCATCCAAGTGGAAGCTGTACAGAGGCAAGTACAAAGCACTACAAATGTTGAGAGGCACAGAAGAGGAGCATTATTCATGTCTGAGGAGTTATCTTGCTGAGCTACTGAGAGTTGACAGAGAGGGTCGGTTTGAATTTCTACTTGATGAAGGTACTGTGTTCAAGGGATTTTTTGTGGGATTTAGTGCATTAAAAAAGGGGTTTTTAAGTGGGTGCAGACCAATAGTTGGTTTAGATGGAGCTTTTTTGAAGACTGTGATTGGAGGGTGTTTGTTGACTGCTGTGGGGAAGGATGCAAACAACCAGATTTATCCCATTGCATGGGCAGTGGTTGATTCTGAAAATGAGGCAAATTGGAAGTGGTTCTTGAATATTTTGTTTGAAGAGTTTGGAATCAGGGATGGACTGGGTTGGACCTTTATTAGTGACCAGCAAAAGGTAACTAAACTACCTAATATAATACATAATTTATATTTTTCATTCCTGAAATATGAAAGTTATATAACTTTTACCTTGTTCAAATGGATTGTAGGGGCTGATTAATGCAGTAAAGGATTTGGCACCATTGGCAGAGCATAGGAATTGTGCTAGACACATTTATATGAACTGGAAGAAAGAACACAAGGGTCAGACACTGAAAAACATCTTTTGGAGGACTGTCCATTGCACATTCCTTGCTGCATATAAGGAATCACTGGAGGAGATGAAAGCTGAGTGTCCAGAAGCACACAACAAGTTCACTGAGCAAGACAATTTCAAATTTTGTAAGGCCTTAATCTCAGTACATCCTAAATGTGACATGGTGCTAAATAATGTATGTGAGACCTTCAATAGCACCATTGTTAGGGCTAGGAAAAAGCCTATTGTTGAAATGCTTGAAATGATAAGAACCTATGTGATGGAAAGACAAGTTCATAAACTGAATATGGGAAGTAGTCTCAGTGATACAATTTGCCCTAGGATCAGAAAAAAACTAGAGGAAACTAAGTACAAAAGTAGGTTGTGTGTCACCAAACCTGCTCTAGGAAACAAATACCAGGTCACAGAATTTGAAGACCAATTTGTTGTTGATTTGGGAGATAGGAGTTGCACATGTAGGCAATGGGACATAAGTGGTATACCTTGTGTCCATGCATGCTCAGCTATTCACTGGTTGAAAAAGGATGCCACAGATTTTGTATCCCCTGTATATAGTTGTGAAAGGCTTATTGCATCATACTCATTCCCCATGGAGCCCCTTAATGGTAAGAGGATGTGGCCAGAGGCTCCAGGGAATCCTATCAAGCCCCCACCATTCAGAAGAATGCCAGGTAGGCCCAAGATCAATAGAAAAAAAGCACCTGAAGAAGAGGCTAAGACAAGCTCAAGGCTGAAGAGGTTTGGCTTGCAAATGACATGCCAAAAATGTTTCCAAGTTGGCCACAACAAGAAGACTTGCACCAATGACCCAGCTCCAAAACCTGCTAAGGTATATTTTGTTTTTTTTAGGTATTATATGTTTTTATAGTATCTGAATTTGTGAACAAACCTGTCAATTTCAGAGACCTAGAGGTAGGCCAAGGATGATTAGAGAAAGCACAGGGGCAGGTGGAAGTGAATCCATTGCTAAGGTAACAGTTAAATTTATTTTTTTTTTCTGTTTGACATTATATAGTTTTCAAATTTTTTTGAAATTTTATGAACTTGTTAATTTCAGAGGCCTAGAGGTAGACCAAAGAACATGAGAGAATGCACAGAGGAAAGGGAACAGTCTGGTGTAACTTCCCATGCCCTTGTAGCTAGGAAAAAGAAAGCATTGGTACTTTGATGCATTCATTTCTAATTGATTGTCTTTCATTTTCTATTGTCTGAAATATTTTGATAAATATGTTTGAAATTTAAATGACAGGTGCTTAGACAAAAAAGAGTTCAAAAGAAATCTCAGAACAAGGAATTGGAAGCTGTGGGAGCTATAGGAACTCAAGAAAGTGTTGCCAAAAAGTGACAAACATTTTGTTGTGGACATGTGGTTGTGAACAAGTTCATGTGTTTCTTTTGTAGTGAAAAGGTTGTGTTGATTAATGTGTTTATGGACATGTTGATGTGAACAAATTTTTTGGGTATTAGTTTATGTTTTTGTGGACATGTGGATGTGAAGAAATTCATGGTTGTGGACATGTGCTAGTGGTTGTGGTTGTTCAGACATTATGTTTGTAATTTGGCCTACTTTTGCAACATAATGGATCAAAATTGCTTCATATTGATAGTGTTTGTTTATGTTCTTATGTTTGATTGTATTATGGGATGGTCATGTTCTATATGGTGTTACAGGTAATACTTACTCCAGAAATTAGATCACTGAACAATGATGTATAATGGATCATGATGTTTTATTCAACAAATAATGTTCATTGAACAATGAAAATCTTGCTTATTGCAAACAAAACCACACTAACTTTGAACAACCAAAATCATATATAAACTTAGCTCATTGCAAATAGAACCTTGTTCTTGGTACAAACAAACACTACATAAACCAGCTTTGTCTAGCTAAGCATACAAAGCTACAAAAGACAACAACAAAGATAGCTAAATATTACCATCTTCTCAACAACATTGAACAACATATAAAAACAAACATAATATCCTTGTTCAAAGCTACCTAAGCATTAACTTCTTCTCATTAGACACACCAAAGAACCACATGGCTAAGAAAAACATAATGACTAAAATCAGCCACTTCTTGTCAGATTTTTTCTCTGTTGCAATTCTTTTCTGAAGTTCAGCATTTTCCATTTTCAACAGATCCAACTCATTGGCTTTCACTTCTAATCTTTCAGACAAAAGTTTCTCCATCACCATTTTGCATTTCAATTGTTCCTCCAACACTTGAACTTGACTTTTCAGCTTCAAATAACTAGCTTTCTGGAAGGGTGGGAGCTCGGGATCAAACCAACGAAAAAATTTACAATCATCATCCTGTAATGTGCAATGAACAAGAATATGAACTTCAACACACACTTCAAAATTCTGTAAGAAAAACATAAATGTGCAGATATATTAACTTCAACAGAAATACGAGCTGCTTGAATGTGCAAAAAACAGTATATCTAGCTTTGATCTCCTAGCTTTCATCTCCTACAAAAAACAGGTAGTAACTCCTAGCTAACAATAAGACCCCCATTCTTGTCTGATTTACAACATACAAACTAACAAAATTTTTTTCATCAATAAGAACCCCATTCTTGTTTGATTCCCAACATAAAACACACAAAAACAAATTACAAGCTATATTTACGAACAAATTACAAGACCTCCATCCTTATGTGAATCCTCAGAAAATACAAGCTATATTTTACACTTCACTTACCATTCGATATTTGCACCGGTAGTACCTCCTAGCCGGATTCAGATCAGTATGAGAGGTGAGAAGATCGGGCTCTTCTAAATGTCGACATGTTAATTTCGGAATTGCTGAAGTCGGGAATGTTGCTGCCGAACTTGTCCTCCTATATGAGTTGGAATCAGTGGACATAGTGTCGAAGTTGTCTTCTTAACAGAGCAACCGTCCCAATTTCTTCTATTGTTCTTCCTCAGAGCATTTCTAGGATTCTTCCTTCACTCGTCAAATTAGGGTTCTAAAAAGGTTCTGATTTTGATTTTAAAATGTAATTGAATGAGAAACGACGTCGTTTCGTGATGAGGTGGAAAAAAAAAAAAACGATTTACCACGCAGGACGAAACGACGTCGTCTCATGGTGAGGTGGAAAAAAAAAATCGCATGGTAAATACAACTCAGCAATTGAGGTGTATTTTTGTTCGCCACGTCAGATTTTTTTGAACAGGTGATGAGGGCCGTGTATCGTTTTGCAAGAAAATGAAGGTCGTGATATTCTGTGCAAAAGTCGAAAAGTCGTGATTAATTTGCAATCTCGATAAAGGTCGTGATATTATATGCAATTTTGCCGTTGATTTATTTACAATTAAAAAGAAAATTTTCATAAATTTAAGAATAAAAAAATTATAGGATGTATAATTTCTAAAGATAGATTGGGGGCATTAATTTTATATTCGGCCCGGGGCCCAAAATTATCCCGGGCCGGCTCTGCTGTATGTGCTCGGTCTTGAGCCTTGTGGTGTTGGTGAAAATTTGAAGAAACGTTTGTTTATTGTTTGGGGCACGTCGAACTATAATTTGATGGCTAAAAGTTCTATCTAGTATCTAGTATCAAATGAAGGTAAGTTTGGAAACTTCTTATTTCCCAAAAGTATTAATTTTTTCAAAAGTATGACCATCTCATGTAAGACTCACGAGAGACGATCTTACAGTAGACCTACTTGTTCTCCATTAGCAGTATGACTTGTCTTGTGTTTCGTGCAGTTTGTGTACTGAAATTCAAAAGACTATTAATAATTCGGAATTCTTGTGTTTAGATTCCCGTTGATGGCGGATGAAGAAGGGAAAGAAAATGCTCCCAAAGAGTGGGAAGTCGTGTCACTCACTGCATCAGCATATGCTGCTGCCCCTTGGACCCAAAGAGCTCGACCCGACCCAAGATAACCCAGATAAGTTAGACTCAAAGCCCGAGGCTGAAAGTTCTAGCCCCTTGTTCATGTCCAGACACTTTGTCTTTCCTCCTAGCCAGCACGAAAATTTGCCCCTCGAACTTGAATTAATTGTTTCTTAGTTGGATGGAGAAGGAGATGTTGAATCAGAAATGATGACGATGAAGATCCCCATTTTTATGATAAAGATGTGACGTTTGAGAAAGCACAGGGCATTTACAGCTATGAGAAGGGGCTTAGTAACGTGGAGGATGAGGGGACTAGTGATTCGGATTATCCTCCCGATAGTGCCTTGGATTCGGGCCCGCAAGATATAAAGAAGCCATCGGAGGAAGACGAACATCCAGAAGAAATCCACAAGAACTGAATTGTAAGACAACACATGTAACTTCCAATATAGCACCCAAATGATTCTTGACCACTTCCATTATGATTGTTGTCAACCCGGACAAAATGTGTAGATGATACTTGGTGATCAAAAACTCGAAAATAGCATTTATCATGAATAGTAGGCTATGGTGGTAAATAATGATGAAGGCTGCCTTCATTCAATTCAGCACATCTATACTTACCGACACAATCGATAACATCCACGCATCTATTATCAAACATACACAAAAATTTGGCAAATACGTCCAATTCTTACACATTGCGGCTACCATCGTTGAAATCCACACACAACTTTCCATCCTTCATCAATGTGATTATCATCTTGGGGTGTGTGTGATTCCAAAGATGGTGGCCGCAATGTGTAAGAATCGGACGTATTTACCAATTTTTTTTGTACTTTTGATAATAGATGCATGGATGTTATCGGTTGTGTCGGTAAGTGTAGATGTGCTGAGTTGGATGAAGTCAGCCTTCATCATTATTTACCACCATAGCCTACTATTCATGATAAATGCTATTTTCGGGTTTTTGATCACCAAGTATCAGCTACAAAATACACATTTTGTCTGAGTTGACAGCAATCATAATGGAAGTAGTCAAGAATCATTTGGGTGCTACATTGGAAGTTACATGTGTTGTCTTGCTTGTGCTGCAGTAGATTTACATTGAGAGGCGCCGTGCCTCGATCGACGAGCTCGTCCACGACCCTGGAGTTTTGTTCGTCGACGAGCGACTTTCGACTTCCGGCCTCGACTCCTCCGCCCTCCACGTTGTCTCCGGTCGGCCGCCGTGGCGGCCGAAAAAACCTTCGTCCTCACCGTCCACCAGTCGGGCTCTCGAATCCTCGACAACCTAATCCTCGTCTCGAACTGGCTCGTCGTTCATCAAGGCCCGCTCGAGTCCGTCTCTGCCCCGCCGGCCTCGTCATCCCCCTGCGCCACGTAAACATCCTCGAGTTCTCCATCGAAATCGAAACCGACACTCTATCATCATCTCACCAACAAACGATGATGACGATCGAGCGTCGGCCCGTACTCGCGGGCCCCACGATGAATTTCTACGCAAACTCCCGGCTCGACGAGATGCTCGTGCTCGGACACTGGTTCCGGAAGAACATATTTCGGGCGAGGGAGCTCTTCGAGGCGCGGGCCGTTCAAGCGGCCGTCGTGGGGTGCGCGCTAGGGACCGTGTACATGAACGCATGGGAAAAAAACTCAGGAGTACTCCTCGAGACGCGGCTCGGGTTCTTCACGTTCACGTTAAGCTACCTGCTGACGTCATCAACCGAGGCGCTACCGATATTCCTACGGGAGAGGAAGGTGCTTGAGCGGGAGGTCTCATCCGGAGCGTACTGAGTCTCGTCCTACGTGGTGGCCAACGCGCTCGTATTCGCTCCTTTTCTTTTACTGGTCGGGTTGTTTACAGCGTGCCCGTTTATTGGCTTGTCGGGCTCAGGCGGGACGTGGACGGGTTCGTCTACTTCGCGCTGGTCGTGGGGGCGGTGGTGATGGCGTCGAACTCGTTCACGGCGTGCTTTAGCATGCTTGTACCGGATTTCATTGTGGGGTCGAGCGTTATAGCCGGGCTGATGGGCTCGTTTTTTCCTGTTCTTGGGGTATTTTGTGGCGAGGGAGGATATGCAGAGGTACTGGGTTGTGATGCACTATTTGAGCCTTTTCAGGTACCCGTTCGAGAGCATGGTGATGAATGAATATGGCGGGAACTGGTGCATGGAGTATGTGGGGGTGGAGTGTGTGTTGTATGGGGAAGAGTATTTGAGGGAGAAGGGTATCATTTGTTTTCTCATTTTGTGGCGGAAAGGGTGTGGGGCGAGGAAAGGAACAAGGTATGTTCAACTAAAAACTCTTTTAAATTAGAACCCCTAATCGTATAATCAGAAGGAGAAGGAGACGACTCGAAAGGCCAACGTGCTTCATGTGACAAGGCAAAGGCAAAATATTCTCAGAAGTTCTTGAGGTAATTTTCAAGGATGTCGTTATCTTCAGATCTTAACCATGTTCCAAAATTCTATAATAATTCTAGTCATCATCTATCTATAGTTATATGGTCATGTTATATTTTTTGTTCGGGAATATGTGATCCTTTTATTTCTTTTTCTTGAAATTTGATTTTAAATCACTGTAAATTTGTTCTTCATGGTGATTAAGAGTTTTTAGTTATTCACTCAAGTTTAAAGTTTAGATGCTTGTTTGTGTTTGTGAAATCTAAGTGGTCACTATGTATTATAAGTGTTCAGTGAATAAGAGCATTAGATTATACTGAAGGAATTAAATTTGAAGGCAGAGCTAAATAAGAATATTAGATTAGTCTTCGATTTATTTTTTTTTCTGAAAGCTGAGTTGAATGAGAAGCTGGCAAGGATTTATGAAGTTAAAGATCAGAAGTCATCCTTTTATTCAAGTTCATGACATTCTTTGGTGGGGGCAAATCTACATGCTTTGGCTTGATCTATGATTCTATTGATTCAAGTTCATGGCATTCTTTCATGGGGGCATATCTACATGCTTTGGCTTGATCTATGATTCTATTGAGAATACAGAGATATATGGTCCAAGATAAGGGTAGTTAGCTAGTAATCCCTATTAATATTTTTTTACTCTATGTGAAATTTGATTATTAGTATGATTATTTCCAATATAGTTTGTCATGGTATCTTATAGTAACATTTTTAATGCTTATATGATACTCCAAGGAGTCTTCTTTGGATTTGTTTTCTCCTTTTAATTTTGTGTATAATGTCAAGAAGTTGCTATACTTAATGGCAGAATTCGAAACATCAAAAGTTTTTGGGGTATCTGAAGTATGAACGATATGGATCTTTATTGTTCTAGCTTCTTCAAATTTACATAATTTTTTATCATCAATTGGGTTGTACTCATGCTATTTATTTCTTCAAATTTCTGTTAGTGTTATATACTGAAAGCTTGGCTTTGCATGTTATTACACATTTACCCTTTATGAATGAGAATCATGTTAGATTAAACAAGTTCTACGTTCTGTTGTTCTGCACTTAGATAGGGTGGGTCGTCATCGGGCGAACCGAAGATCACTCTGTCAGTCACTTGCGAACAAGAATAGTTGTTCACAACCTAGATGGACATGAACACCCCATCCGAACGGTTGTAGTGTCAACTGTACAGTTTGTCTTGACTGATTAGTTGCACTAGTACATTTATGTATTGAACAGGATCCCAGAGAGGAGAAGTTCATTTTATACTGATCGTCGTAAATGAACTAGGCCTCGGTTAATTACTGCGTTCTCTTAACCCGTAAGATATTAAACAGGCAGATATATATAATATATATTACTTTGATTCACATGGGTGAGGTTCAGTTCGCTGGATTAATATTCCTACTGTTTTGGGTAATATTATTATATATAGGATGTGCTGTTAGGATATTTACGGTCACCATGTGCGTTAGTTTGATGATGTCCCCGGAGTGAGTTCATGAAGGATTGTTATGCTAAACCCTGCAGGTGGATTAAATTCCGGCATAATAAGAATGTGATGAACGAGCGCTAGCTTCGGTGAAATAATAATAAATTAATTAATTCTTGATTGTCAGTAATCGAATTAATTAATGGACATTATATCTTAAACGTGGGGAGGTAAATCGAGTAATTATTATTGGAGTCTCAAATGTAATTTGGGCTAGGGAAAGGGAGTGCAATAATATAATGTTGGTGGCCCATTAATATTATTTAATTAATTAGAGGAGTGGGTTTGGCCCACAGTTAGTCTAATTAATTAAGGAGCCCTTTTCCTAATCTCCTTAGGGTCCCTACTGTAGCTCTATATATACATCATTAAGCTCATGAGAAGAGAATAGAAGTCTCATTCTCACGTGAAACCATCTCTCTCTCTAGATCTCATTCGAGCTTTATCTTCTTCTTGTTGCTCCACTGGTACAAGTTGAAGAAGGGTGTATTGAGTAATACAGTAGAAGATCTGTAGGTAAACCGAGACGAAATTGATTTTGACCTACAGAACTAACCGGAAGTCCGATTGAGACGTACAGTATACCCAGACGACCGTCTCGACGAGAGCTTTCCATCGCCGCCGACGTCGCCGGAATCCGACGCCGCACGCGCCCTCACGCGCCGCCGGAAGGTGTCTGGCAGCAAAATTTCGTTTTGATCTGTTTGCATCCGTTTGATCCAGTTTTGATCTGATCTTGTTCGTGCAACCCAAGACGCGTGTTGCGGTCAATCAATTGCGGTCAACCGTTCGTGGTCAACCAGATCTACATAAATTTTAAGCCGTAAGTTCTCTACGTCAAACCTTTAGATCCGCTGCGCATAGGTTTACGTTTGCTATTGAATTCGTGATTTGTACATAACGAGATCCTCACAGATCCCAACAAGTGGTATCAGAGCACTTGGTTAATTCGTTTTGTACAAAGTTCGAATTTTTACGGCTTTATTTGACAAGATGTGTTCAAACGCAGCCATATATTGGATTATATTTGCATAACTCGGTTTTGCAGGAAAATAGTTAATCCACTATTATGGCCGATTATGTGTTTGATGAATGTTGTTGAATGTGATGTATGGTTTTAAATTTGTTTTTAAAGCCTCGGGCATGTCGAGGAATTTATGGATGAATGTTTGTAATAATTATTCGCCCGGGGGTTGACCGGATAGATTTAATTATTTGTTTAGAAAACATGTACATCCATTCGTTGGATCTAGGATCGAATTATGTAATTTTGTAAATTATATTTTTCGTGTTGTGATCGTGTGTTGATAACCGGGAGATCACAAGAGATCAACGAGCCTCGAAGAATTAAAAAAAAAAAAAAAAAACGGCGCGTTTTTCCGACCACTGGTGGCGGCGGCCGGCGGCCGGGCGGCAGCCAGGCGGCAGTCGGCGGTTGGCTGCAGGAGGTGGAGAGGTTTTGCCTTCTTGTCCAAGCAGTACAAGATCAACCAGGATTCTACTGCTTAAAGGAGTTCCAGTTGAACAGGGAAAAGAACTGTCACAGTTTCCTTGTTTAAGGAGACTCAATATTTAATGGCCATAATAGTGGATTTATTTATTTATTTAATTAAATTTATTATGCCATTAAATTATTATTTATGCATGTTAATTAATTATGTTCTTGCATGGGATTAATTTAGTATTGCAAGATTAATTATGCATGTTAATTAATTATGTGATGCATAGGATTAATTTAGAATTGTGTCAATAAATTATGCATGTAATTAATTATGTTCTGGCATGGATTAATTTAGAATTGCATAAATTATTGAACATGTTAATTAATTATTGCATTGACATAGATTAATTTAGAATTGCATGAATTAATATGCATGTTAATTAATTATTGCATTAACATAGATTAATTTGGAATTGTATAAATAGTTAAAAATCCTCATTAAATTATACTAAGTTTGAGAAGGGATTTTAAATTAAAGTTAATTGTAAAATTCCTAAGGCCTCCATTTCTAATTTGTCGGTAAATCAATTAATTGCGGCAATGGGCTCCCCCACGGGTGACATTGCTAAAATTGGTTGTAGGAAATTACCAGGACAAATTTCTAAAATTAGACGGTTAGAGGGAATCTTAAGAGAACGCACGGGCCTCCCCACGGGGGACGTGTAATCAATTTTGACAACCTCAGAATCGAGAAATGGGATTCACTTAGAATGCGACTTATCTATAAACTCCCCACGGGGTCCCTGGATTTATTGCATGGCCAAATGGAGACCGACTATTAATTTCGTTAGTCATGAATGTGGTTTTGACTTATGGAAATTAATGGGCCCTTGAAAAGTCCTTCTCTTACAAAATGCGAGTTTGTAGGGCGACCCACGTAGCATACATTCTCACGAGGTGTAATAGATGTCGGTGAATTTAAGTTAATATTGTTTTGAGGATCTCAATATTGACAGTTAAATTCAAAAGTGTTTAATCTGTAAAATTTATTTGCATGATTCTCAGGATATTCATCATGTCGTTCAATCCGTTGTCTGTCATTCTAAAAGAAAATCAGCTTACTGGTCCTAATTACATTGATTGGAAGAGGAACTTAGACATAGTGTTGACTGCTGAGGGTTATAAGTTTGCTATCACTGATGCTTGCCCGGCGGTGCCGGCGGCTGATGCTCCTGAGCAGGAGAAAGAGGAGTATGCTCGGTGGAAGAAGGCTGATGAGATGGCGAAGTGTTACATTCTGGCTTCTATGTCGAATGTTCTTCAACATCAGCATCAGTCTAAGGACACTGCAGCAGATATACTTCTCAATCTCAGGGATCTGTTCGGACATCAGTCTAGGGCTGCTAGGCAAGAGGCTTTGAGTGCTCTGATGAGTACGCGCATGGCCGAGGGCACACCCGTAAGGGAGCACGCTCTCAGGGTTATGGCGCAGCTCAATGAGCTTGAGGTTATGGGAGGTTATATTGACGGGGAAACCCAGGTTGATATTATGCTCCAATCTCTGCCGAAGAGCTTTGATCAGTTCCGGTTGAACTACAACATGCACAAGATGCATATGGCTCTTCCAGAACTGCTTGCAGAGCTTCAGTCGGCGGAGGCCTTATTCACTCAAGCACCTCAGGTGCTAGTCGCCGAGCAGGCTGGACCTTCCAGGCCTCACAAGGGCAGGAAGAGAAAGAAGTCTGCAGGAAAGGCGAAGGCACAGGATGCTCCGGTTTACCCACGACCGACCCCTCAGGCTGTGGCAAA